TCTGACTCTCTCGGAAAAGTCAGCACTGATAAGTCGTTTGTTGATGTCAGCTGGATCACGTGATGTCAGCCGCGTCGCGTGATGTCAGCTATGTTTGTTGTCAGCAACGGCACGTGCTGTCAGCTGTGTTTGTTGTTGCATGATGTCAGTGTTGCATGTCATGATTCAAGTGTTTGTTGATGTCAAGTGAGTCAGCGTGATGTTATGTCAGCCGCGTCACGTGAGGTCAGCTGTGACTCTTGATGTCAGCTGTAAATGTTGATGGAGGTGTTGCGATGTCTCGAGCCCGTCTCGGAAGGTGCCATCGATCTTTTATTGAGTGTTTGGACAAGCAGACGGCTGGGCGATGGCTGTCAGCTGGGTGGGGTGGAGGTCAGGCCTGGTTGGTCGGAGAATTGGGATTTCCCTGTCTGCCTTTCTCTGTCTGTTTGTCTCTGTCTCTCTCTTTCTCTTTGTCTTTGTCTCTATCTCTCTCTTTTTCTTTCTCTCTCTCTCTCTCTCTCTCTCTCTCTCTCTCTCTCTTCTCTCTTCTCTCTTCTCTCTCTCTCTCTCTCTCTCTCTCTCTCTCTCTCTCTCTCTCTCTCTCTCTCTCTCTCTCTCTCTCTCTCTCTCTCTCTCTCTCTCTCTCTCTCCTCTCTCTCCTCTCTCTCTCTCTCACACACACACACACAACACACACACACACACACACACACACACACACACACACACCACACACACACACACACACACACACACACACACATACCACATACATGACACACACATTCATAACACCACACACATTACATAACAACACACACACATACATAACACACAATACATAACACACACATCATAACACACACACATTCATAACACACACACACATACATAACATACACACATAACACACACACACATACATCCACACACAAACACATTCATACATACACATACATACATCCACATACACACACACACACACACTTCTCCGGGTGAAAGTCTACGGCCTTCGTGCGCCAGAGTTCACGTTGCGCGAAATGTAATAAGTGTAATAAAACGATCAGTTGCACAGCTGAGAGGTATCTGGAAATGTCATTCAGGAGGCCACTTAGCATGAGATGCGAACAGCTATTTAATTTTTGTTTTTATTATCTGATGGAAATGTCGTTCTGGAAGCCACTTAGCATGAGATATTTAATTTTTGTTTTTATTATCTGATGGAAATGTCGTTCTGGAAGCCACTTAGCATGAGATACGAACAGCTATTTAATTTTTGTTTTATTATCTGATGGAAATGTCGTTCTGGAAGCCACTTAGCATGAGATACGAGCAGCTGTTGTTATTATTTATTTTTATTATCTGATGGAAATGTCATTCAGGAGGCCACTTAGCATGAGATACGAACAGCTATATATATATATATATATATATATATATATATATATATTATATTATATATATATAATATATATATATATCAGATTAGATTAGATAGATATAGATAGATATATAATTTTTTTATTACTATTATTATTATCTGATGGAAATATTGTCATTCAAGAGGCCACTTAGCATGACATACGAACAGCAATATATTTTTTGTTTTTATTATCTGATTGAAATATTGTCGTTCAGGAGGCCACTTAGCATGGGATACGAACTGCTATTTATTTATTTATTTATTATATTATCTGGTGTTCCTGAGTGTCTAATTATTATTACACGAAGTTTGGAGAGCAATTTGTTGCGAGTGAATTACTTGTTAATTTTTATTTTCTCCAGATTGGGTTATTTAGCCAGCGCCATGATTATAAAGGACTAAACTAACCCGCCATTAAATGGGTAATTAAGTTGTCCCGCGACTGTGCAATTAAACGGGGGTTATTAAAGGATAAACCAAACCAAATTGCACAGTTAAAGTGGCTGGCGATACTCCACTTGAGGCCACTTCTCTCGAGGTACAAAGGGCCGAGGGACGATTTACAGTCTATCTCATTTGGAGCAGCTGAAGAGATGCGTGTGGTTCTAGGCTGTTGTTTGATGTGTTATGAGGACGTGTGGCGTGGGTTGTAGAATTTATATGTTGTAGAATAGAGAATTGAAGAATTGTTATTTGGGAGAAGTTAGGGAATCACATTAAAAATGATATTTGGATTTGTTATTTTGATTAGATAGATAGGTAGATATGATTAGATAGATAATTAGGTAGATAGATGTATAGAGAATTAGATAGAGAGATATATAGATAGATAGGTAGATAGATAGATATGATTAGATAGATAATTAGGTAGATAGATAGATGTATAGATAATCAGATAGAAAGATAAACAGATGGATATATCAAATGGAAGTGTGGCTTGATTTTCACTTCATACGTTGTGTGGATATCTGCGCATGTTGGTAGACCTAAACAGGCTCAAGCCAAGTCAGGGCAAAATGCAACAGGTATTATGTGGATATACCTGTGTTACCACTTGCTAGGTTTTCAGATATTCTCACAGACTCCGGTAATGAAAATTGGTGTGAGTTTTCCTATTCGAAGAAATGTGAAACTTGAATATAGCACTGTGGCCAATGTGCGTGTAGTATGTTGTTTTTGTTTTTGTTTTTTCAATTGGGCATAAAAATGTACTTTTGGATTTTGTTTTAGTTACAGGTTAAATGAGGTCAGGTTGCCGATGTGATAATGAATGCTTTAGAAAAATCTGGAAAGAATCGAAAGTACACTGCATTGGTTTTATTCAGATTATGATTATATAATGATTGCAGTAATGGTGATAATAATTACGATGATGAGTATTTAAATGAAAATTATAATGATGATAGTAATAATGGTAGCAACGAGGATATTAATAAGCATTGTAATATTTTACAATACTTTGCAGTGCCGCCTTTCATACCAACTTGGAGTTTAAGAGAAATAAATTGATGTGACTCTCGCTGATGTATTAATAGATATTATCCTATTATATCCCTTATTTACCAAAATTAAACTAGGCGCACAGAATTAAACTAAAGAGAAAGAGGCATTTACTCTCTATATAAAACATAGTCTGTTCGACAACAACATACAGTCACAGGCAAGAAGAACTGTTTCGAATTCCGTCTCGAACCCAGTGATGTGAAGCTTTTTGTTCGGGTTCGAAGGGTTTCGAAGCTTCATTCTCGACACGGATCGTCGCGGCGTATGAATCCCGGTGGTTCTGAACTCGTGAATCCCGAATGAACGCGATTACGAGTATGCTTGCGGAGGGAAATGAATGTTCAAGTAGTTTTTTTTTCGGTTCCACTGCTTCTGGGGAACGGGAGAGTGAGGTCTGTGCCCGAGGTTTTAGTGGTGACTGTACGTGGCTGCGCATACGAAGTCAGACTGTTTTTTTGGCCTTATATGTATTTTTTTCTTCTTTTTCCTTTTTTTCTATTTTTCTTTTTTCTATCTTTTTTCTTTTGTTCTTTTCTTTTTTCTATTTTTCTTTATTTTTCTTTTCTTTTCTTTCTCATTTTCTTCATTTGTAAGTCAAGAGAATCTTTGCTTAATCCTCCATCTTTCGCATTAATATCCAAGTAATACGATGCAGTCGAAACATACTTTTTATTCATTTATTATCTTTTATGTCATCTATCCTTCTTTATTTACATGGATGCTATTTTTCCATACACCTTTTATTCGTGAGTCTGCGCCCCCCCCCACTCTAAAAATATTTATTTATTTATTTTACCTCGTTTTTCTTTCTTTATTTGCAGGAAAGCTATCTTTTTACACCATTTATTCGCCCCCCACTAGAGAAAATTATTTATTTATTTATTTCTCTTCGTCTATCGTTCTTTATTTACAGGAAAGCATATCTTTTTACGCCATTTATTCTCCCCTAACTAAAGAATAAGAAAAGAAAAGAAAAGAAAAATAGATCGACACGTGACGGGGATCCACACATGTCAATTTAGTCATCGCCGATCCCCCCCCCCTACCCCCCACCCTCGCCAGCTGAGTCAGAGGCACTCGGCACTGATAGCACGTAGGAATCGGTGCTCCTCCTTCATCCTCTCCTCCTCCTCCTCCTCTTCATCCTCTCCTCCTCCTCTCCTCTTCATCCTCTCCTCCTCCTCTTCCTCTTCTTCTCCTCCTCCTCCCTTTCCTTTCCTCCTCCCCTCTCTTTCTCTCCCTCCCTCCCTCTCTTTCTCTCCTCCTCCTCCTCTCTCTCTCCCTCCTCCTCCTCTCCTCCTCCTCCTCCTCCTCTTCTCCTCTCCTCCTTCCCTCCATCCCTCCTTCTCCCCCTTCCTCCTCCTCCCTCTCTCCTCCTCCTCCTCCTCCTCCTCCTCGTGTGTGACTTGGCGGGGTTTGTTTACTGCGCAGGATATGCTGTCCTTCCCTTGGGTGTGGTTTGGTTTTTTTTTTTTGTGTGTGTGTGTTTGATGTTTTCTTGGGTTTGTTTGTGGTTTGATCTTCTCTTAGTTTGTTTTGTTTGTGTTGATTCTTTTGTTTTTTTGTGTGGCTTGATATTCTCTTGTTTTATTTTGTTTGTTTTGGGGGTATTTGCCTTTCTTGTGGTTTTTGTTCGGTTCTGTTTGTTGTTGTCTCTGTCTCTCTTTATCTCTCTTTATCTCTCTCTCTCTCTCTCTCTCTCTCTCTCTCTCTCTCTCTCTCTCTCTCTTTCTCTTTCTCTTCTCTTTCTCTCTCTTTCTCTCTCTCTCTCTCTCTCTCTCTCTCTCTTCTCTCCTCTCTCTCTCTCTCTTCTCTCTCTCTCTCTCTCTCTCTCTCTCAATCTTTCTATCTCAAAATGCATTCATTTATGTATGTGTATGTATTTATACGTCAATTATCAACCGAAATGTTTATGAGAGGATTTTCATGCAGTTTTATGTGTATTCATTAAATATATATCGTGTATGTACACAGCACACACACGCACATCCACCTACCCACCCATACCCACTCATATCCACCCATACTCACCCATATCCTCCCATGCCCACTCATATCCTCCCATACTCACCCATATCCTCCCATACCCCACCTATTCCCACTCATATCCATCATATCCTCCATGCCCACTCATATCCTCCCATACCCACCCATATCCTCCCATACACACCCATATCCTCCCCATACACACCCATATCCTCCCCATACACACCCATATCCTCCCATACACACCATATCCTCCCATACACACCCATATCCTCCCATACACACCCATATCCTCCCATGCCCACTCATATCCTCCCATACTCACCCATATCCCCCATACCACCCATATCCTCACCATATCCCCATACTCACCCATATCCCTCCCATATCCTACACACCCATATACCCACCTATTCCCACTCATATCCATCCATATCCTCCCATTCCCACTCATATCCCCATACCCACCAATATCCTCCCATACCCACCCATATCCTCCATACCCACCATATCCTCCCCACCCATACCTCCCATATACACCATACATACTCACCCATATCCTCCATACACACCCATATCCTCCCATACCCACTATTCCCACTCATATCCATCCATATCCTCCCATCCCACTCATATCACTCCCATACACACCCATATCCTCCCATACACACCATATCCTCCCATACACACCCATATCCTCCCATACACACCCATATCCTCCCATACCCACCCATATCCTCCCATACACACCCATATCCTCCCATACACACCCATATCCTCCATGCCCACTCATATCCTCCCATACTCACCCATATCCTCCATACACACCCAATCCTCCATACCCACCTATTCCCACTCATATCCATCCATATCCTCCCATGCCCACTCATATCCCCCATACCCACCCATATCCTCCCATACACACCCCATATCCTCCCATACCACCTATTCCCACTCATATCCATCCATATCCTCCCATACACACCCATATCCTCCCATACACCACCCATATCCTCCCATACACACCCATACATACACACCCATATCCTACACACCCATATCCCATACCCAATTCCTCCCATACACCCCATATCCTCCCATACACACCCATATCCTCCCATACACAACCCATATCCTCCCATACACACCCATATCCTCCCATACACCCATCCTCATATCCTCCCATACCCACCCATATCCTCCCATACACACCCATATCCTCCCATACACACCCAATATCCTCCCATGCCCACTCATATCCTCCCATACTCACCCATATCCCCCATACACACCCATATCCTCCCATACCCACCTATTCCCACTCATATCCATCCATATCCTCCATACCCACCCATATCCTCCCATACCCACCCATATCCACCATACCCACCATATCCCCCATACCCACTCATATCCCCATACCACCCATATCCTCCCATACCCACCCATATCCTCCCATACCCGTACCACCCATACCATCAATCGCTTCCATCTTAATCACTCGTTTTCCATCCTAATTACGAGTTTTTTCCCCTCTGTTTCCATTTTACGAGTTTTTCCCTATTTTTCCATCTTATGATATTTCCCCCTTCTTTTTCTATCTTAATCACGATTTTCCCCCTCTTTTTCCATCAGACGATTTTTTCCCAACTTTTCCCATCTTAATCATTAGTCTCTTTTCCCTCCTTTTATATCCTAATCACGATTCCCCCCCTCTTTTTCCATTTTAATCACGAGTTTTTTTTTCCTCCTTTTCCAGGACAAATATGCCAAGCAGATGAGTTCGAGTGCGCGGACGGGCTCAAGTGCATCCCGCGGAACTGGTGTGCACTACTCCCCCCGACTGCCAGGATGCGTCGGACGAGCCGCGCGATTGCCGTGAGTCTCTTGTTTTTGTGGTTTTGAATTTTTTGGCGGGAAATTGTGGTGGGTTGTTATTTTTCGCTTTTTTCAATCTTTTTTTCTTCTTGAGGGGGATGTTCTTAGTTTGTGTTATTATTATTGTTTTTATCATTATTATTATTATTTTTTTTTTATTTATTAATTTTTTTTTTTGGGGGAGGGGTGTTTGCGTGAGTCTTTTGTTTTCCTGTTTTTAATTTTTTGGCGGGAAATTGTGGTGTGTTATTTTTCGTTTTATTTTCTTTTTAAGGGGGTGTCCTCTGTTTGTTTGCGTTATTATTGTTATTGTTTTTTTGTTGGAGGAGCGTTATCCTTTGTTTGTTTGTTATTTTTAAAATATTTTTTGACGGGGGGTTGTCCTTTGTTTATTTGTTCATGGGAATGAGTGTATGTATATATTTTTGAGATGTCCTTTTTTGATTTGCTTATTTATTTACTTATCGCCACAGCCATTACAATTCCCATTCTCTATGTTTAACGGTTATTTTGTATTGTTATGTGATCTGAAGCATTTGGCGAAAAATAATGCAGTGTCGCAAATGTGTTTGGTCTGTGTAAGAGAGAGAGAGAGAGAGAGAGAGAGAGAGAGAGAGAGAGAGAGAGAGAGAAGAGAGAGAAGAGAGAGAGAGAGAAGAGAGAGAGAGAGAGAGAGACAGAGAAACATTTGGAAGGTGCGAGAAGTATGAAACAGGTGAACCATGTTGTGAATTTGGGTACTCAGGTATTCGAGACAAATTCTTGGGTTGTGAGATTTGTGTAAAAGCTTCTGGTTCTTTCTTTCTTTCTTGTTTTTCTACTTTTCTTCTTTCTTCCACTCTTTTCTTCGCCTCCTCCCTTGTCTCCTGATATTTTTCTTTATCCTTTTTTTATTTCTCCTCCTTTTTCTCTTTCTTCTCCTCCTTCCCTTTTTTCTCCTCCACCTCCTTTTTTCTCTTTTCCCTTGTTCTTCTTTTTCTTCCTCCTTCATCTACTTCTCCTATTTCTCCATCCTCTATTTCTCTTCTCCTTGTTCTTTCTCTTGTTGTTCTATCTCCTTCTTCTCCTCCCCTTCCTCCTTCTCCTTCTCCCTGTTCTTCTTTCTCCTAATCCTTTCTCAGCTCCCCCTCATCTTCTCCCTTCTTTTACCTCTCCTTCTCCTTGTTCTTCTTTCTCCGTCTCCTCCTCCTTCTGAAAACTATTAAATAAGTCCCCCCCGAGAAGAGACTGGGACTCCCGTTTTCTTTGATCGGAGCAAACACGCACTTGACATGTTTGGTGATAACTGATAACTGGGTTGCCAGGTTGGTGATGATAATTATTTAATGATTGACAGGTTGATGATGATTATTATGTGATGTTGGCAGGTTAGTGATGATAATTATTCGACGATTGGCAAGTTGGTGATGAGAGAATCATTTGAAATGCAATTGCTTACT